TCTATCTATAAATTGAATGATAAAAGTATGTTGCGAGCTATCAAAAATTATAATAACGTTGTGTGGTTACCCCCACCACTAGCGCACTTCTATCGCCGTTATATAACGGTCACAGAAACTATGGACATAGTAACGAACTTCTCTTGCAAGCTTAAGCGCTTCTTACATTGCACACTAGTAGAAATGGATATGAAGGTTTGTCTCCTGATATATCAGTTAGCTTACTGATTGCTTGAAGGTCGGCCTCGCTTCGTAAACTATACATTGATTTGTATAATATTGACTTTTTTTAAATATGGATCTGTTGCTTAGCACGCAATCAACTAGAAGAACTATTGATTAGGGTGTAAGCGATCGAACTGCATATGACCAAGTGATGGCTATGACAGACCAAAAAACAGGCGACATGAATTCAGAGATGCGGAGGCCACACAATCACAAAGTCCGATCTCGTTGCTGCACGCGCTCAGAGATTATCAATGACCTTCAATCTAGTGATTTTTTTGCATTTAAGGTACCCGAAGTGATGGGTTTCCATGCAGTCGTAGTTAAACTATACGTTCTATACGAATCACTATTTGCAGACGGATAGATAGGAACAGAAAGATGACACGTAAACATAATTGCTTACAAATTACTTTTTAAGCTATATTTCGATTCGCAAGCTTACGGGCACATGGTCTTTTAACTTTATAATAGGTAGCTATATAAGCTCTGTAATTATAGCGCTGCCACGATCAAGTAACGTCGACAGTATTGGCGGTGGATGGAAATCGTAGGGTGTTTCCTTCCGAAATTTAACGGCATTGTGGCTGAGGTTCGAAACCGCGCGTACACTTCGTTTCGTACTATCTCGTACCGAATTCTACGACTATATTTGTTAAGCGTCCTCAATGAATCCAAAAAAAAGTTACAAATTAAATATACGAAGAATAATAATATTGGCGTTACGATCTATGAGCCTCTATGGTTAAGATGCTATTCGATGAGGTAGCTATATCATGATTTCGAATTGACTAACCCATCATTGAATTATGAGCATTTTCGTTTTCAGATTGCAATTCCCTGTTACGCAAAAACTTTTGATTCAAATAAAATAAAAAAGAAACTTGCAAAAAACACTTCCTAAAGCCTGGCGGCGAAAAAAATAGCGTTAAGCCCATGAATAAGATCCCACGAATTCCGGAAGTACAGATCTCTTTTTTATTACCCTAGACCCCAGTTGTCTGCCTGTCTGAGAAGTGATTTGGGTGAGTAAATACGCACACTTCTTTTTAGCGTAGTTCAGCCATCGCAATTAGTTATTGTAAAATTCAATCTGTTTTTCAGATACTGCGACAAAACGTAAAAACCTCTCTCGCTGTTATTAAAATCGCGACAAAAAAAGAGAAAATCGCTTAAATTTATTTTAAATTCAAATTAAGCTGAACTTGCTATGCACTGTATATCTACTTAAATATCGCATATGTAATATAGATGTGTTTGGCCCAATGTAGTTTTGTCATTGCGCCTATAATACTAATAAAATTATTAAAAAGTTAATTATCAGTTTATTGAACAAGCGCTAGGCAAAGTGCGGACCTAGCAACGCCCTTATGCGGTGTGCCATCCATAATACCTTTGTGAAATGTGGAAAAAAGATTACCGAACATGTATGAATGACTTATGTTGAATATTGAATACTGAACCAATCTTTAAAAGAATAGAATACTTAAGAAGTGCGCATTCACGCAATTTCTATAGCGCCTGATTATTCTCTGAGTGATTTAAGTAAAGCAACTTTTAAACTTACAACAATCTGGTAGTTGTGGTCTCATACGTAAGATTTAATTATTGGTATCCTGCGAGAAATACGCTTTTATATTCTTTTAGCTGACTGACACGGCAGAAGTTGGTTCTATTGAGAAAAAACAAAGTTTTTTCCAAATACATAGCGAATGAAAGATAGCTGGAAACCAAAACTGTCGAGTCACCTTGACATTTAATCATGTTAAATAAAAAAAGAAAAAAAAAAAAGATAACTAAAGCTAATGTACTTTGTTGCAAATACATCACCCATAAACCTGTTATAGGAAAAATACGTGCGAATAATAATTACTAGAATATTTATATTAATCTACGATAATGGCGCTAACGATACCGATTGTTCACAGGCATATAAATAAACATCACTGAGCCCTTTTTATATAATTTGCTTGTATATATCTCGACTGACTCTGTAGCAGTCCCTACATCCATGAAAAGAAGAATTTAATGGGCACAATTTGTTTTACATATAATTCTTTATGTAGAATGTTCCATAATAGTAGAGGTGCAATCGAAATAGTTAATCATTATTCTTATTTATAACTATTCCAACGTGTGCAATTAGCACGTGTGATTAGTTCAAAAAAGCGCGCTGTTCTCAGACGTATGCAACAGGACCGTTGTAAGCTAGCACCGTTACATTCATGAAAATTAAGTAATCTTGCCAAAAAGAAAAAACTGAGTGGATTTCAGATTGCAGCAGACATATATCGCGCACCTCACATTATTCTTCCTGGTACGTCAGGGACACAACTGTTATCAGTAATCAAATTCAAAACATAAATAACTGAATGACTGAATCGGTGGATGGAGTAAAAATAACGAACGTCTATGATCAGAAATCTGGCCTTCAAAATCGATAATACCCTACCCTCGAAACTGCCAATGAATACTGATAGCAAATTACCAACAGAGGAAAATCATTGATTATCTAAGTATAGCAGGTTATGCGACACAGTATGAAAGTGACGTGAAGGGCACCGAGCTTGCCTGAATGGTAAAAAGCGAGACAAAGTGTATAGTTATTATAAGCGAAATACTTGTATTAGGCAATAAAAGATTTAACTAGTGTGCTGTTTTTTGTTACTCTGTTAGACTTTTTTTTATTATTACCGTTTGATTGAGCCTATCATGTATTTCCAACAAGTGCTTGCCTAAACTGGCGAAGCGTTTCTAGCGCAAGGGACCCAATATTGCAAATGACTTTAAAATTCTCAAAAATTAGAAAAATTAACTAAAAGCAGATTTTTCGGTAACGTTTTTTACATGTGATTCGCTTAGAACATAGCTTCAATTTAAAGTCTAAAACGCTTCTAAGCATTTCTAAGGTTTCTCCTTAAAACTGCATAATTTTACAGTAAGTAATACTGGTAGGTATAGATATGCTGAGATGTTGCTCAAATATGTTATACACAAAAAAAAAATGTAGCAAATTTCAATTTCCAGTCAGGTTGAAATCTCTATACATCCGAGGGCATGCAAAAGCTAAAAAATTTCAGGTTCGCCTTCCCTCGCAGAATTCTCCAGAAGACCCGTGGAGATGGCTAGAATGTAGACCGATCTTAGAGAGACTTAGGTCAACTATGGAAGTTTATAATTCAGGTGGGAGCCAGTGAACAGTAGTTGCTTTTCGACAGCCTAAAGTGAACCTCAAACTTTGTACACGTTGTCCATACGTTTACGTGCACGAAAATAGCTCATAGAATAGGCACATCACAGCCTCCCTCAGTTTAAATGGGCCAGTACATGCATATTTACATAGATAACAAAATAAATTTTTGTGTTATAAGTCATCATATAAGTTGTGTGATCGCAACCGCATATTCCGCATATAGAATGAATTCAACTTGTTTCCTCCACGCAAGCGTTGCTCTGTAAATGCTCTCAGCCACCGTGAGCTCGCTGTGCTCGCATCAATTATCCGTGGATAATTGATATGATAGCACGAATGAACGAGCAATTCATATACAGTAGAATGTGAACACCTCTCAAGGTAAAGTCTGCCAAACATGACTGGTTTGTGAAGTTTAAGTTGAGCCAAACATTTACATCATGCCGATGACACCCAACCTGTACAATTTGCTTCTCACTTATTATGCTAAGAATTATTACAGTTGAATGTATCTATCCTCTAGTTGCTTTTTCTAGATGTTTGCAGTACATCTTATTTTATTATGTCATCATCTTTCAGTTATTCACGGAAAATAAGCTATTTCGAAGCGCCAGCATAACGACTATTGATATTGTGGTTATCGAGCGTCATATATCGAGCGTCATCTAATGAAAGGAGATCCTCCTTTGCTTTACACGTGTGCAGATTGGCATTCATTTATTTGATTTAATGGCATCATTCCAAAAGGCACTTCTCTTTGAAGCCTCCTGTAAAAGCGACTATGCAACTCCTAGCAGTTGCTATAGCGAACGGACGTTTCTCTTTTCGAACCAGATGTTGCTAACCGCTACCGAATATTTATAGACAGCTATTCAAAAGCAAAATAATTTTTGATGAAACATACGGACAAATGTTTATGCCAATGTCAATATCTACAGATTTACGCAGGATACCGTTGGGTCAAAAAAAGCAGAGCAAAGCAAGGCTTAAGCTTGCATTTGCGAGAGATTCAATAAAAATGAGATGTTTTCGAAACGACTCTCTGTTATTTACGGAAGGAGGATTTTTGAAATTAGTAGTGATTCTGTCTATTTTTAAGCGCTGATCTTAAAAAAAAAGGTAGACCAAAAAAAGACGAAGAATATAAAGATTGGCACATATCGTATCATAAATAAGTCACACTTTGTACGATCTTGAAAACAGTGTTTGTTGAAATGAAGTTATTCTTTACTAGTCGGTAGACAGCTACGAGTAATAATGAGAAATGTCGGCCGTAGATGTTACATACAAAAAAAATGAACAAATATAAATTTCCAGCTAATAATGGGCCAAAATACCGACGCATCCAGGTGTACAAAAAAGTTATATATCTTCTGTGATTTTATTTGATGCTTATTTGCTAGCTTTTTCATTACAACTCAGATCTTCTATAAAGAAAAAGATTTACATATTATAGCGATGTTACAAAATCTCCTAAGTCTTACTCAGTCGAATTTGGCGCCAACGTTTCAAGGTGGCGGCGCCCTGTGTGTACAAAACAGACGATCTCTGCTACGGTCAATACCGAACTAGTGTTCCACTCGCACATGTGTTACTTAATAAAGATGTCGGGTTAGCCATGTAGAGCATCTTAGTAAACTTGTAATTAATATCGAGGCGTTCAAAGATTATTCGTTATAGTCAGGTAACGGTAACTGCTAGTGGCACGGAATGAGCGAAATCACTGTCACTCCTCTTGGTAAGCTTTAAACGTGAACAAATTGTACATTTTAGGCCGTGAAACGTTTTCTTTCTTGTTTAATTCGTTTTCAGTATTTAAACAATTGAAGCATCTGGTTTACTCCTTGATAAAGGATAACTGCTAGATGGAGCCATGCACGCTACATTTTATTTTAATGCTACATAATGCTCTAATGCTGCTTAGACTAAAATGGGTTTAAAGGGAAGGACTATTTAATAAAATTGCCAAGTAGCAACGAGCTCCTCTATTATGAGATCATTTTTATAACATTTAACTAATATTACCTATTCCTTTTGAGTAGGCATTGACATTAGGTATAAAAATCACAAGGGCGAGTTCTGACGAAGTGAGATTAGACGAAGATTACCGATAGTCGAATATAGCAGAATGCCTGAACATAGAATAACATTTACGAACCACAAAGTGCATTATCTTTTCGTTTGAGTGGAAGCCTCCATTATGTCATAGATTAGCTGATGGATTGCCTAATTTTGTACGTATTGGTCCTCCGTTTCTCACTTCTTCGCGTCGATACCGCCTAAAGGTTAATTTGGTTAGTCCCAAATAATTAATTCGCAAATTATGTTTTATTGCACACCGAGCTCTGATACAATAGTCATACCTTATATTCTAATCATCACAGTTTTGTATGTCATTTGACTCGAGCGTAGGCGCAGGTCAAGATGTGGGTCGGAGTTGCATTCTTGTAAGCATCGGGGGCAAGAATGTCATGCTCGACTGCGGCATGCATATGGGGTTCCAGGATGAGGTGAGTAAATGACGAATGATATATATATATATCTAACGGCGATATATATAATATGATGACGTACCTAACGGCTTTTGAGTGAACTGGCACTAATCATGAGTACATCTATGATTGGGTATTCTTGATTAATATAACCTATGTATGATAGTTTCCTGTAGTACTATTAAAGTCGTGAAGGCTTTTTAGAATGTTTCATTTGTACATCGATTCTAATGAGAATTGTTTGGTCCTATATTTTTGAGATTCTAAAAAAGACTTACTATTATCGGTTGACTTAATTAAAAGGGTAAATCCTTGTTTCTACAAAGATGGTTAGATTCTATATATATATTCTATAGTTCTAGAAGCGTGACGCATACAAATATTGTATTAAATCTGCGTTGCTGTTCTATTATAGCGGCGCTTTCCAGACTTTTCTTACATCAACAACGGCGGTTCTCTCGATGATTTCATTGACTGTGTGATCATTTCGCACTTCCACCTCGATCATTGCGGAGCACTGCCATACATGAGCGAGATGATTGGATATAGCGGTCCAATTTACATGACACATCCGACTAAAGCGATTTGTCCTATTCTGCTGGTAACTATAATTTTTTTTTTAGTTTTTTTTTTAGCCGCACGGTCCGATCTATAATACAAAATTGAAAACAGCGTTTTTCTGGTTAAAGAATGTATATTTTGTATACAGCATGAACGATAAACGATTTTATTGTTCGTTTCGAGCTATTTAATTTCGTTTGGAACATTAAAAGACCTAGTTGGGCCAAGAACCATGATAAAGGAAGTCATACAAAGGAATAAAACTGCGCATACTTCTGAGGATGCGTTATAAACTATTCATTTGTACGTGTAAGGTCCAATGAGATTTTCATCTACTTTTATTTATTTACTATGCAGGGATCTATTTAAAATAACCTGGAATCAAATATCGCGAATCTACTCATTTACAGGAAGATTTTCGCAAGATTTCTGTTGACAAAAAGGGTGAACAACACTTTTTTACATCCGGGATGATCAAGGACTGCATGAAGAAGGTACGTGGAATAGCTTTATTGCACCCCTGGAATTCTTGTTGTTAAAAAAAGCTTGTTTCTCTTTGAAAAGCTAAGGATTTCGAAACATAAAACAGCACTTAACACTTGCTTAGTATATTGGATGGAACATATAGTTGCATGTTTAGACAATGGGCAGAACCTACATTTCTTTACAGTGAAGAATGGTTGAATTTGTCAAATAAGTCAATTCTAGTCAGCAGATATTAAAAAGGGCCTATCGGAGAACCTCTGAGTTTTGTCCGAATATATATATATATATATATATAATGTCTCCGGAGCGTCTATGACAAAATTTTTCAATACAGGGCTTGTTTCTCCTATTTATTGGTATAGCATCGACACGTAAGTTGATTAATTAGTTTTAAAGATTGCATCAGTAACCTGTAAAAACTGCGCTATTTAAAGGTGATTGCGTGCAATCTGCACGAAACTATACGGGTGGACGCCGACATGGAGATAAAAGCTTACTACGCAGGACATGTATTGGGAGCCGCCATGTTCCATGTTCGTGTTGGACATCTTAGCCTCGTTTACACTGTACGTGTCTTACTTAGAGCAGGAAAGTTAGTTGTTCGATCATAACAGCTAAAAAGACGGGGTTTCGGTATCCATGTAACAAGGAATTATGTATAACTGATTATTTATTCGTTTGGAAATGATCTAGTTTAATGCGCTGAACCTGCTCCAGCACATAATAATACTAATAAATTAGTTTTTATTTCTCAAATCAGAGCAACAGACTGAGTTTGTGAATTCTGTCCTATACTCTGAATTTAAGTCTTGTTACAATTAGTAGATTCTGATAGAATTGTCATGTTGTTGGTGATCTAACAGGGGGACTACAACATGACCCCTGATCGACATTTGGGTGCGGCTTGGATTGATAGGTGTCGACCGGATTTGTTGATCACCGAGTCAACATATGCAACAACCATTCGAGACTCGAAACGTTGCCGTGAAAGGGACTTTCTTTCAAAAGTTCATGACTGCATCGATAGAGGCGGTAAGTGGTTAATTAAGCCTTGCCATTACTTAAGATCTAAATTTAAATACATAAGTGTTTCTAGTTCTACGTCCAGTACGTCCGGTACTGTCACTAGGCATTGCTTCAAAGGGTGGATCCTAGAACGAAACAAAGTGTGCCGACAGCTTTGAGTCTAAATTATTTCACTTGTTTCTAGATATGGTAAACAAACACGTAATCACCGCGTTCTTATGGGAATGTGAAACGAAAATTTATTAGAGTGGGTATGTCCTATTTATTGAAGTCAAAAGGCATTATAAAATAAGGTAGCAAAACCTTAAAAGCCTTAGTTGTGAATTTTAGATTCGAAACTGATTATTTCGTATGGTTTTAGGTAAGGTTTTGATACCTGCATTTGCACTAGGCCGCGCCCAAGAGCTGTGCATTTTGCTAGAAACATACTGGGAGCGCATGAACCTCAAATGCCCTATCTACTTTGCCGCCGGTTTAACAGAAAAAGCAACCAATTATTACAAAATGTTTATCACTTGGACTAACCAGAAAATCCGAAACACGTTTGTGGATCACAACATGTTCGACTTCAAGCACATCAAGCCGTTCGATAGAGCCTTCATTGATAATCCAGGTAAGCACTGCTTTTTAATGCTTGGATTATTTCTGCATTGAAATAGAGTCTAGTTTTCAATAGCACATTGTGTAGTTAGATTATCATCATGCTCAATAGTGCGCTACTAAGAACTAAGAATAGTTAGACCTTATTGCACAAAAAAGTACATAGAAATAATGTTCTCTGAAAACATAATTCTCAAAAAATGTATACTTGCTATTATGAAAACAGCTTGCGGGCTAGTAATTTGATTATAATTTCAAAAAATACTTGGATTATTTCTAGGTCCGATGGTTGTTTTTGCTACACCAGGAATGCTTCACGCTGGTTTGTCATTACAAATCTTTAAAAAATGGGCTCCATTTGAGGAGAATATGGTGATCATGCCTGGCTACTGCGTATCTGGCACAGTAGGAGCCAAGATACTTAACGGGGCTCGGCGAGTCGAAATCGATAAAGGAAACTTTGTGAGTCCTTTTAGCATTACGACATAGCTCATGAGGCATATTTTGATTTACGCATGTTAGTTATCTATTGTAAAGAGCTGTAACTGTTTTTGCCATCTCTGGTAACTGTAATCTCTGGCCATGAAGATATTACTGGTGTCTATGATCATGATGGTGGAAAATCAGTGTAAGTCTGTCAGCATCAAAACCAGTTTCTAACACTCTGTTATTTAATTTAATTAACAAGGGTGTTTTTACACCTTCGCTATCGACTTTGGATTGACAGGTTGTCTGTTTATCCATTTTTATGCATCTTATTACTAGATCGAGGTGAAGCTATCCGTGGAGTACCTGTCATTTTCAGCGCACGCTGACGCCAAGGGCATTATGCAACTAATCCGGCAATCCGAGCCGCGCAATGTGATGCTTGTGCACGGTGAAGGCGATAAAATGAAGTTCTTAAAAGGCAAAATCGAAGAGGAATTCCATCTCGACTGCTACATGCCTGCCAACGGTATAAGTCCTACTGTTTACTTACTTCAGTCCTGTTTTACTCTTTCGATAGAACCATAACAGCTAATAAACAGGATTGTATTGTTCAGTTGGATTGCTCAGAAAGTTTCTCTTACCTTTCGATTAATTTATTAAGGTGAAACGTCAATAATCCCTGTTCCGGAACGGATCACGCTGGACGCAGATTTACCATTGCTAAAGCGGGCCCTTCCACCTGCCGAACTACAAATAGCTACCAAAAGGCCTAAATTGATTACGGGGGCTATTTTTATGTATGACAACGTCATGAAGCTGGTCGAACCTGAAACCGCTCTCGTGGAATTGGGTGTCAAAGAACACCAGATACGCTTTACAACAACAATCTCGATTCCAGAATCGTTCCGGGTATGTACACATCCTTTTGATAGCCCTAAGCTCTGAAGTCCATACTTTAAGGTTGATAGTCTCATACATCTGGAACATTTGCTAGAAATTATTCTACTAATTTGCCAAGCATCATGATGAACAGGGTTCAACGGGACGTCTGACGGAGGTTGTTCAGGAACTGATTCGTGAGCGAGTAGCGTCCCAGGAAAAAGAGTCTCTCCAAACTTTACAGGACGGTTCGCTGTCACTAGGTTCAGCTCTTGTGCGAGTTTCCGGTTACGAGGATGATATGAAGTCTGTATGCGTGTCCTGGGCCAACCACGACGAAGATTTAGGGACGCAACTTGTGTCACTGGTGCAAGAAGCCGTTTGCGTTGTCTAAGCTTCAAATGACTCATTCTCCAGTGGTTTATTCTGTATAGGTCCACTTTGTATCATGTAATGGCTTCGTTTTGGCGGTGATAGAAAACACAAGCCCGTCAATGAGTTTAATATTTTCGAAATTGTACATAAGTGGCTTTTTATTTATATACGATTTGAGTAACGCGATACTCGAAATGTGCGTGAACAGAAAGTTGTCAAACATAAAAGATGTAAATAAATTGTTACGTGATCGTAAAACAGAATGTGAAACCTGTTTGTGTGCGATCTCTCATGCCACGACACACCGGGCAGCTTTATTCGTGGAGAGGATATTTGTGTGCAAAGTAGATACTTAGCTTTCTATGAAAATTTCTGCCGTTATTCCTCTAGGTATTTTTAGAGCAAGTAGATGAACTGGGGACGTTGTTCATAAGCAACCTAGAACATAAAATTATTAGTTTTTACCTTTTAGTTATTAGTTCACTATTTTTTTTAAGGTTTTGAAACATGATTAGGCATTACGCTATAAGTAACAGGGTATAATCTATTTACCTTAGTATATAACTAAAGATTATGTAAGGCCAGTATAGTTCATAGGATTCTTTATAGAATTAGGAAGCAGAATGCATTAAACACGCTTCGACGCAAAGATTAAACTTTCCAGTCGCAAAGCAATTGGTCGATGGTTCAAACTTTATGGTGGGACATATGTATATGTGACGCTCGTAGTTCATGTATCATTTATCGAAACGCCATTTCATCTAATAAAGAGCACTTTCTAGGTGGAACAAGAACGAATATAAGATAAAAATCGCGTGCATATTAATAAAGAAATTAAGGATCAAGAAACTCATATATACCAGTTTTTACACAAAAAATTGAGCACCGCTTGATAAAATGTAAACTATTAGTTTGCTAGGCTGCCTGATGGCATAAACGCGTCTTGTGCAGGCTGGACCGGAATAAGCAGAGAGGGGATATTTACAACATAAATATATACGAATAAGTGAATCGAGAATAAGATGATAATAGGGATAAATGTGAAAGAAAGTTAAATCCAATATAACTGTAAAACAATTATTATTTTAAAACAAATGAACGTGGTTAGGACAATAAAGAAGACACAACTTTAATACGGAAAAGTTGGTGAGGATAGTAGTAGTAGTTTGGAACAGAGTTTTTAAGCAAGATATCGTGCGCTAGCTTAACATCACCTCAAAAAGAAACTGTTAAAAGTTTATTTATTATTCGAAGTAGTTATATCAATTGAATTGATGTAGCGCTGTTATAAGAAGAATGAATCAGCTTTATTCGTAAATACTGCTTCAAGTCAATAAATGAAGGTCTAAAATTTTTTCAGAATAATATTTATTCATTTGAAAGAAGTTCCGTATCGAAAAAAATAAATATTCCTGAGCTGAAGCTATGTAAGGAGTATAATTGCAAATATTTATGAGAACCGTCAAAAATTGACGCACGAAAAAAGTATCGAAACGATATGACTACATACAGGGTTATAGAGCTGTTAAAACAGAGTCGATGTAGTCAAGACCATATATAAATACTGACTGAAATTCCAATTCTTTTGCTAAAGATACATGTCGGTGAATGTTACGATAACTACGTGGTTAATTAGATGATACACAATTAGTGTTAGCCAAAAAAAAGTGTGAAATCTAGCCATAATCATGGGTTAAATATTAAGTGAAATGCGTAAAACTTTAATCGGTACTAAATAGATGTCGGGTGGAAGGCGTTTAGGCATCTTTGGCATAATTCCATCTATATCTTGTGTCTTCTTGATATAATATACAAGCTGAACGATAATCACGACGACCGAGTGCGTCACGTATGCGCATGCATGCCAGCCCTAAGCCATGCTTCGAAGCAATAGTGGCACGCTTTTAATCGTAAACCTTGAAGTACTTGCATATCAGCACTGGATAATAAAGCACGTAGGGACAAGTGTGCATATCAAGCGAAACGAAGGGACCATCTACATTAATAAGTTCCTGTTTATGTCAACTTATAAAAAACCTATTTTTATTATTATTATTATCCGCCATTATTCCATTTAGCCATCAGTACTCATCTGGATCAACATGCTAGGGCATATGAAACGATTTTATTTTGAAACGAAAAGCCACAGCAATAGAAAAGGGTTTATACGAGAAGGTGTATGCTACCTGGCTAACGTAACAATAAGTGTTCTCCGATGAAATTATGTAACTTATCCTCAAGTCGAGATCCGTCCTTATCCCTTTAAGGATACTTTCAAGCTACTACTCAGTATTAAAATACCGACTTCACACCTCATCACACCAACCTTTGCTGCCATCGACTAGAGAACCCACGCTAGTAATGTAGAAGAACTAATGTAGAAGATTTCACATAAGAAATGTAACGCAATCGCAATTCATGATATAGCGCACACATATTGAATAAATCTCGCAATTTAATTAACTTCGTGTAGGAATGGCCGATTTATTTGCAAGAGGGCGGGTACGCCATTCTGTTGAAATGAAACGCCACCGGATGATGAAACTTTTGAACTCGGGCGTTTAAGGATTTTTTAGTCTCAAATACATGCTATGCATGCAATCCAAGCGCGACTATTCCGCCGGATGGCCACCACGTATAATGCGTAATTTAAGATGAATTTAAAATAGATTTCCGAGTCAAAAACATTCGCTAGTGGACGAAGAAGCCACAATAATTTTTTGGTTGGCTGAAAGAAAGCTGATTGTAATCAAAAGCTAATTTTACCTTTTGACGTTCACAGTCATTCCTGGTCTAAATACCGCCTGTTAGTTAGTGCAGTTCATAATTTTGCATGGTTGAGAGATTACCTAACGAGAGACAAACGTGATACCACTTTTCGGATTCTTAATTGACTATAATAATGTATGGTGCGACATATGGTCATATATATACATGTACATATAGCAGGCAAAAGTAAGGGACCATATTTAGGTATGTATTTCATGGCGCTATAGTTAACCACTTACCAGATAGAGCTTGAAGAACGTAGAGAGAGCCGTATTGACGGCGCGCACTGTCACAGTTGAATAATATCGTCCACATGCACATCAAATTTTCAAAAATTTTTTAACATCATTAACATTTTAAACCTAATCCTAATTGCAACAATAGTCGCACAAGGTTTAAGGCGGCTAATTAGCTTCGAAGAACGGCGCGCACATTGCTACAGTTGGCCTTTGTCCCTTTAACAAGATTAATACGCTTCTTGAATATGTTAGTATTCTAGTCATTTAAAACACGCTTTCGCACTGACTTCTTTTGTTTTCTTCTAGCAAAGATCACAGTTCTCTCTCAAAGGACAGTCTTTTTCTATTAGTCTTGTGAGACGATTAACTTGTTCACACAAAACAATTAGTAGCTCTATCTTTACCGTATTAGCGCGCTTTCTCCATCGAAGCATTGTCGTCGCTTTACCTATAGGAAGAGCACATGTACTACAGCGAAGAGGACCTAGATTCGGAGTGTCAGTTTCGGCTGGACTATATTTTCTATGATTTTTTGATGCGTCCGTGCCGCGTTGGTTTTAGGGTAAGGAAATGCAGTAAAGGATTACAAAAATTTCTGACTCAACACAGGGATGGAAAGCTCTGTCATGCTACTGACGCCAGGGCCCTTCTTTTGGCAATGCAAATGAAATATCGTCTGCTTTGTCACTGAATTCGGATTGTGTCACTTCAGCTTTTATGCCGCAGCCACCAACATCGCATAGCCGCAGCCACCAACATTGCATAGATAACATGCGGCAAAGGGACAGCGAAAGACGTGAACTTTTAGTATGTAAGCTAGCTGCTTGTGAGCAGCAGTTAACTTACGTACAAAAAGCCATCTACACGGCTGGCTTAGTAACTGTTGCACAAAGCGCATTGCCATTCAAGAGAGTAGTTTAAATAGCATAGCTGAGTATAAATACTTTCCTTATCCAGAGCTAGAAAACGCTAAACCCGGAAGGGATGGTAAAAGAATGAAGAAGGAAAAGGTTTAGCGTTGTAGTGCCTCTATCGAGTCGCACTATATTGCACCGTTGCGCCATCGAACAGAGGTCAAACGGAACAAAGGCTTTACACAGACGACTCGTGAGGTCATGGAGATGGTGCTTATTTGCCACTTAGAAGGTTTATGCTACTTATGTTAGTCGACTGCTATCCCCATATAATGTTATGTTTGACAACCATCTTCGTCGCGTCGCAAGACTTAATAGTAGTGAATGATGACGATCGAGCCGGCGCTTACATCGTAATTGGTGTTATTAGAACTCACAATCAGCCTAGGGCTATGCGAGCGCCCTTTTGTAACATGTCTTTGCTTTCCGAAATTGGCACTTGGAACTCGGTCTCATTAGGGATAAAAGTATCTGTAACGCCTTTGCATGTGCACAAAGCAGATAGCGTATAACCCATGCTATGAGAAAATATTGCTTTCGTGGATGTAGCTTAGACAGCATAGCTTTTGGCTATGGGATTAGGTAGTGCTACTTGGAATCTAGTAACGAGGCAAACATTACTCATAAGCTACATGATGTGTATTGAAACTTAAAAGAGCATTGTTTTAATCAGTTAGCTGAAATAACGCCAAATGCTATTTAAATAGACGAGAATCTCCTCCTAATATTTCACTTTATGTGAATGCTGATAAAATTAAATCCAAAGACCTAAGGTATGTGACAATTATTCCGTAAGAGGACGGCACATCTAATTATTTATATAATTAATGTATTTCAACTCAGTTTTCAAGCGTCTCGGTTTCCGTCTTCCCCCTACAAACATAAGACTATAGTGCCATTCTGCTGAACCTGTTCCGACACACCTCATAGTCAGTCAGGTGTAACAGTTGCGTGAAATCGTTGTCTTTTCTATCCGAAACAATGAAACAGCAAAACTTAAGGACCAATGAAAATAAGTCGTAAAAATCAAGACGGTCTTAACTTTAAAGATTGTATGAAATTTGTTTAAATTAACAGCCACGCACTTGAATAAAATTTCTGCGTAATCAATTACATCTTAAAAAATCGCGATTCATCTTGGAGCAGTTCTCGCTCTGTGTGTTTTTGAAAGTGACCCACCAAGTGCGACTTATGTGTCTGTGCCTAGACTTTTCGAGTATCTTTTCTAACGAGGTCATATGCTCTTGTTTTTCGAAGAGCATAACTAAAGGAGGATCCCCTTCGCTATGCGTATGCCAAATTGACGTGACTTTATACAATTGCTGGCTGACGAGGTCCTCGAAAGCAGTCACAGGATCGGCGAGAATCGCAGCTAATAATGGATGCATCAATTATATTATAAGCCGTATCAGCTTCTGCTGACAGTTTCCCACTACATATTGATCTGTACAATTTTGAAAAAAATGATAACGAAACGCTTAGATGTTATTTTCATAATTGTGTTAAAATGTACCGGCCGTTAGGTAGCCTCGAAAACCGGTGCAGGTTTCCGGAGAAACATTGAGGTGAGTATATATCGTGGTGAAGTCGTGAGGTTATTTATCATAGTCAATACTATATAAGCGAGTTTATCTTTTGAAAAGCCTAGAAGAGTTTTCTATATACACACTAACGTCTGTTTCAAATTTGTATGTAGAAGCAGTTTCAAAAGAGTATATGAATTCGCTTAAGAAATGTCTCCTCAGACTAACAATACAATTCTTTTATACATACATATTTAACTAGAAGAATCTTTACTTAAACCTTAGCATAGTTTACATTAGCCTTGGAATTATATAGTTTAATTTATACGACTGTTTTTTTATACAAAGACAAATTTCATATTGAAAGAACGAAAATGAAAGCAACAGTCGGATGGCTAATACTACAAGCACATAAAATCTATAGAACTAATGACAATGATCGAGTCTTCTAAAGCTTATTTTCAAACTGTTATTAAGCTAGGGGAACATTGAATTACTTTTCTTATTCGTACAACTTTTTTTTATGCAGTATTATTTCAGAATACGCTTTTCGTCCTGTATAAGATAAGTGTGTAAATAAATTGATAGATAAAGCTTTTTGACGGTTAATCCTGCAGTATTTTCCTTAACCAATTAAACAGATACGTCGCGCAGGTTGAAACAAACTAACGAATAGTACCGATCGCTAAGTTCACTTCAGACTGAGTTCACTGATGAAAGATTGCTGAAGCGTTAAATAGTAGACCTAGCATTGAGGAAGACGTCTTTTATCGAGTTCGGGTCAATGGCTCAATTAGTAATTA